GGGGGGGGGGGGGCTGTAGCATTAATAACCTCTTGGAAAATAACGCCTCCTGCAGCAGCGCCAGCAAAAACAGAGCACCAGGATCCCTTTCCGTCTTGCTTACACCAAGGAGAGGAAGGAAGCAATTGCCTGCGATATGCTCGCAATAGCCAGCCAGAAGCCTTGGTTGGCCCCGGTGCTGGCAACTATTTCGCTACCTAGACACGGTGCCTGGGACGCAGTGGGGGCTGGGGAGTGTACTCAGGTGAAGGTATTCGCTGGACTATTGGTCTCGCACCCCTACAACACAGGGACCGAGCGGTTATGTACGCCAGGTTTTTGGCGGCCCAGGCTACGTTTCACAAGGATGAACCAGAAGCTGGCCATCATGCGTTCGATGTGCCAAACCAGATATGCCATGGGTTGTGGGCATCACGGCTAACCGAGTATCACATTCTGTAGGCACAAAAAAAGATGACATAAACATAAGATATCAAAAGTGCCGCAAGGAACTTCGATCTTTGCACGCTTGTACGAAACAGGCGCGCCACCCACACGAGCACAGAGTGGGGGGTACCCCCCACTCATATCCGTGCGTGCCGTCGTCGTTTGACCATCGACTTCGCATCCCTACAAAGCCGGGACGGAGCACACGAATTCTCACCGGAGCAGGCTACAGTAGCACATAACCAAGGAGCGCGGGAGGCACCTCCTCACGTTGTGCATGCCGTAAATTTAGCGGGGAAATCACAACACGCATCCCGAAAACACTCCCCGGACCCAATTATTGTTACACGGTCGGATGTGCTTTGTTTTACCGTCGAAACTTCAGCGTTAGGGTCGCGATCAATTGCATGTGCATGTTGCCGAGTACGTACATACCTCCTCGCGTCAGTCGGGTGCAGGCGAACGTCGTTCGACACGAAGAAGGTGAGCAGGAATGGTCGGCCGGTCACCACCTCCACCCTCGCGAGGCCGCCCACCAGCACCACTTTGCCCTCCCCTACCCGGAAGGTCACGTGGTCTACCTGCAGTCTCGAAACACACACACACACGCACACGCACGCACGCACGCGCGCGATAGCGAGCAAGACACGCATGACCAACAAAGCATACTACATATTAAATATATATAATACATATATTACTGTGCGTAAGTGCCCAGCGCATCGACCGGCGCTATGCAGAGTACAGATATCAGTCTTTGCCCAGCGATTTCACCGGCGCTTTTTTCAGGACCACCGGCGAAAAATCGACCACCGCTAGTGACGTCCCCTCGCCGATGTACCATTGGTTGCTGGTGCTGGTAACACGGTTTGTTGTGGTTGGGTTGGTCGCCAGAATCCGCCTGCGGCCGCTGTCCTCGGGAAAATTGTTGACCGACTGTTTACTTTTGTCGGCTCTGCACGAGAAATCGTCCTCTATAGGGCGGCAGCGACCGCTGAAGACACCGAAAACATGGTTTGCCGTCGTGGCACGGGAGGCTGCAAGGCTATAGGGAGCGTGTTACGACAACAACACACGAAACAGTGTATCGGTGGGCCAGAGCAGCCTGGAAGACTGAGGGAGCGTGCTAAGATAACAGCACAAGGTATGGCTAACCAGCGTGCCAGAGCAGCTTGTAAGGCGAGGGAGTGTGCTGGCGACAACAGCACACGATATGGCATAGTATGGCATACCGGCGTGGCAGAGCAGCCTTTGAAAGACTGCAAGATTGCGGGGGAGCGTTCCACACTGGCACACATTCTACAAATATCGACATGCATGGATATGGGCGATGCAGAGAACAAGACCTCGGCGGGAAGGACAAAGTAACATCACACGACATTGTATACCGGTGGGCCATAGGAGCCTATAAGATTGAAAGGCGAGGGGGAGTGCTATCGTAGCTGCTAACGTGTGGTAGCACGTGTGGTAGCACGTGTGGCGTCACGCGCCATCTTCCTCGGGATGGCTAGGGTTAGGGATAGGGTTAGGGTTAAGGTAGCACGTGTGGCGTCACTCACGCACCTTCCTCGGGATGCTTAGGGTTAAGGGTAGGGTCAGGGATAGGGGTAGGTAGCACGTGTGGCGTCACGCGCCATCTTCCTCGGGATGGCTAGGGTTAGGGATAGGGTTAGGGTTAAGGTAGCACGTGTGGCGTCACTCACGCACCTTCCTCGGGATGCTTAGGGTTAAGGGTAGGGTCAGGGATAGGGGTAGGTAGCACGTGTGGCGTCACGCGCCATCTTCCTCGGGATGGCTAGGGTTAGGGATAGGGTTAAGGTTAAGGTAGCACGTGCAGCGTCACTCACGCACCTTCTTCTTGGGGATGGCCGCCCTCAACTCCTCCGCGTTGAGGCGAGACGTGAGAGTGTGCGGCAAGAGCAGCCCAGGGGTGTCGAAAAGGGCCCTCTTGTCTCCAAGATCCACCTGTTGAGGTTGTTGTTGGTGTTGAGGCACGTAAAGGTTCGTTCCCACGTTGAAAATGGACATAGCAGGCAAAGAGTTGATTTATCGGAGGCACGTGCACGACGTTCGACACGGGAACCATTAGCAGCAAATGGCACAGACACCCTTGTTCATATCAACAACGTGACCAGCACTAGCGTTCACAACAACAGAGGCACTTCGTGCCACTTCCACCATCAACCACTCTGCCACCAACACCAACGCTACATACAGCAGCATACATTCCGACAAGAGAGGGTCCCGGGTCCGATATGAGAAGGTCAAAATGGGTTGTCACGTCCTCGACCCGCTTTAGAATAGTTGGGAAACCTCTTATTCCGGGCTCCAATATGAGAGGGTCGAGTGCCTTGGTCACACTACCCTCTGATCTCCGAGCAACAAAACTGTTGTGCACCTAGGAAGTAACCAAAGCGTTCAACGGCAGCTTCTTGCCTTGAGGAAATCGAGCGTAGTTCCCGGAACGCTGCTGACGGTAACACCTCTCCCCGCCACCGCGGGCGCTGTGCCGCCCCTGCCGCCCCCCTTGCCCCCCTTCCGCCTTGCGTCGCCCCCGCCGTTGTTTCCCCTACAGCATCACACAACAAGAGCCAAGTGGCAGCGTTCTCAGCGAGTACATGTCGCGGACGCCATCCATCTCTTTTCCCTGTGTGTTCTTTTCACTACACGATGGCCGCTCATGGTCGTCGCCACTCGACGCGGTATGGGGTTGTTACGGAGATATGGTAGATCATAAACTGCTCGATGTCGAGGACGTGAGCATACTAAGAGACAGTAGCGGGATGACTCAAAGTGAAGCCTACCAATGGAGGAAGGACCAGGTTTTCGGTGGTTTACTCAGCGCATGTCACCTACAGTTCATTTTTTGGACGTGAAAAAAAGTTACCGAGATATTCTAGACGCAAAAACAGTTCGCGCCAACAGCTGCGCCAACACCAGAAAGAAGGAGGCCCGCGACTGGTGATGGAGGAAGGGGGGGGGGGTCGCAACCCACCCAATTCACAGCGCACCAGGAACAAACGTGTTGCGTCAAAACCCAGTCCTCACACGGTGTACTCTATGCTGCTGCAGCACCTGTCTTCGATGATGTAGTTGATGAAGGTACTCTTGCCGACGTTAGCCGCCCCGAGAACGTAAATATCGCGTTTTCCTCTTAATGCTTGTTCCCTCGCCTAAACATTCGAGGCCGGGGCGGGGGGGTACTCATGTTATGAATTGCCCAGCTGCTTGACAACGCGTCCTCGAGAGGACGGAAATTTGTTCCCTAGGGGGGGACAAGACACCTGACGGAACAGGAAACTGTAGGGAACTTGCTGTGATGTCCCAAGTAGTAATTTGAACGAGCGTGATAAGAAGGGGGCGGGGGCGAGCCTACGCACGTCTATCATTGCTCGTTCTCTCGCATGCATGGAGAATATCGTTAAAACAAGCACGGGTAAGGCCAGAGGCAAAACCAGTACGAGAGCATTGAGGAGAGGGAGGGAGGGAGGGAGGGAGGGAGGCCTACTGCATACCAGCAACAAGGCGGCGGGAGCTCACACGAACCCAAAACAAGAACCGCAAAGCACTCGAAACGCACAAATATTGGGTGCACTCGTCCATCATCGATGACCACACGGGACGCACGCCGATTCAAAACAGAGGAACCATCGGCCTGCTTTCCTTGCTCGGCCCACAACCGTCACAGCTTTCACGCTGTGCATGTCATATCCCACTACCGCGTTTGGACTATTATTGTCCTGGGTCCCCCAAAAGTTGTTTTACGTTCTGGAAAGGTGTACCCCTCTTCGAGTAGTTGTGTGACCACGGAAGGCGTCCTCCGCGTCCAATGGACCAGTACGGATACTGCAAGGTGATGGGTGGAGATCGGAACGGAATCAGAATGTGAACACAACAACAACAACAACAACAACAACCAACTACTAACCAGCCGCACTACCAGGGCTCCCAGAGAGCTGGCGGCCTTTGCAACGAAAACGCACCTTGCGCATCAGCGGCGGGATACCGACGCCGTGCTTGCAGCTGACGAGGTGGACGTCCCTCATCTCCATGTCCGGAAGCCCGGACTCGCGGCACTTGTCGCGCACCCACTGCGGGGCGGCGTTTCGTTTTGCAGTAGCAGAGCGTTATACAACGGAGGCAAGAATTCGTGTTAACGAAGGCAAGAACTCGAGTTGTTTTAGGAGAATGGGAGTGCAAACTTCGTCCCGCGCCCATTGTCATGTGGAAATATTTTCGTTTCGTACAACTTGGGCGTTGTACAACTTGGGCGTTGTACAACGAACGCAACAATTCGTGGTAATGAAGGCAACAATCCTTCTTAACGAAGGCAACATTTCGTGATATTAGAGGGGTATGGAGGTGCACGCGTGTCGCGCGCTCACTGTCGTCTGGGGTTTCTTGTACTAGGAGTTGGGCAATGTAGCATACAACCAAGGCAAGAATGCGTGCTGGTTGTAGAGCGGCATGGAGGCGCGCATTTTGTCGCGCAGAGCCACCGCCGCGAGATCTCGAATGCGGGAAGTTGGGGCGTCAAGCAAGAAACTTGGCTCATTCAAGGAATACAGGTGTTGCGGTCGACATGGTGGAGCGCTACGGGTGAAGGACTGGACAATACGAACGAGTAAGTGGTGCTCAGCAGAGCCGGCAGTGACACGGGAGCGTAGCGGCATCATCGAGTTACCACACAACGCACAGAAACGGCTACGACCATTTCACCGACGCACGTAAGCGCCGATGACCTTTTCACCAACGCCACGGCGGACAACATTCCCCCCCCCCAGTCTCGTCGCGCCCCCCCCCAACCTTACTGCAACGATCAGGAGTCTCCTACCCAGCCATGGCTTATAAACCGCCAGTGCTGGCTGGTTGTCTCACTACTGTACCTTGGTGACCCTTTGCCTCTTGAGGTCCTTCGGCAGCAGATCCACTTTGTTACCGGCTACAATAACGGGGTTGTTTCCTGCCGCGAAACAAACAAAAAAAAAAGCACGCACAGAGGAGGGAAAATTACCAACCAGCCGAAGCAACCGAGGGCGCGCGGTAAGAACCTTTTATGTAAGTCACGCTGTCTTGGTTCGATTCCATAGCAGAGACCCCCGCACCCCCGCAGAGAGTTGGGGGAGCGTGTCCGAAGCGGTGGATAACGGCCACAGGGTGGTGTGTGGCAACGGCCTCCAAAAGGCGGCATTCCTTTGCTTGTGTTTGTGCGCTTCGCGATTATTTCCGCCCTTTTGCTTCAGTATGTCCGTCCTCCGTTTTTCATTTTTCGCTGAAAACAGAAGGTCTTGGGTAGGGAGACAGGCATCCTGCTCGATGTGGTGCACCGGTGATCTCCGCCGCGAGGGATGGTACACAACCCGTGCCATAGACGAGACGGAACAATATTTGTTTGCTGTGCACAACCCGTGATACCGGCGTGCGTGGCGGTGGAAGTAGCTGGGACGGGCGTCAGAGCAACGCGGGGCGGTTTTGACAAACTGTCGTACTTGAAACCTCAACGAGGCCGTACGTATCTTACCACAGGGAAAGCAGCCGGGCTAAACAAATTTTGATCCGGCTTGTCTGGCAGGCGCATCATACTTGTGAATGTAACGCCATATTCCTGGGGGGGTCCGCATACCATAGATGACATAAGATACCACACACCCCCGACCGATTTTCAACGCTCGATTTCTCAGTAGCATAACGAGTGGCCCGTGCCGAAAACGGCGGCGATAGAGCCGTCTTTTCGAGAGATTTCACAACACGCAAGCTTCATCAACACATCCTCTTCGACACGGAGTCGTTCGGGCTTTGAAAATCGGCTCAAGGGGGTGTAGAATCTTGCGTCACCTACGGTAGGTGTTCGAGGAAACGCCGGGGGGTTCCGCGGAATGTGATCGACATCACGTACCGCCACGCTTCGCCGTGCGCGCCTACCTGTGATCTTGGGCAGGTTGTAGAGGAAGGTGCCGTGGAAGTCGAAGAGATCCACCAGGTAGATGATGAGGCAACGCTGCTTTCGGATGCTGCCCAGGAGCTCCTGCCATTTCCGGTCGGCAGACAAAACATCAACAGCAATGTCAGCGGCAGCACTGACAGCAGCAGCACAGCGTTTTAAGCAGCGAGGTGGCGGAAGGGAAAGAAAAGTGAAGGGCTGCGACAGATATGATTTTCGGACTCCTGCTTGAAGAAGCGTTCACGGGTGGCCTTTGGCTCACAGCCTCTTGTCTGGCACATGTTTTCGCTCACGATTCCATCGCTCACCGTTAACAATTGAAAGTTCATGGAAGAGCACACGCAACAGAAGTTTAGGTGCGAGGATACATACCCTAAATCATCAAGCCGCGGGAGAACACAATCCTTGTGCCAACAACTACAAAAGAGCGAGCAGCGCAACACAGGCACAAAAACAAAACAAGAACACTTAGCAGTGTCCCACAGCGCTATGGATCGATTCGTAGCTAATCTACCCCGGACTCATTTGTGGAAGAGACCGAATTGTTGTGCTTTCTTGTTGAGAAAAAAAAAAAACATATCGCAGTGCCACATACCCTCCTGTATGAAATTCATTGCAAATCTATCCCAGAGTTGCCTGCCGAGAGATGATGCTGTTGTGCTCTTGAAATGAAACAGAAAAACACTGTCAGTAGTGTCTGGTCACGCTACTGGCTGTATGATTGCGAATTTATCCTAGGCTTATCTGCGGAAGAGATGTTTATCATTTAGTTGTTTTGCGATGAAACAACAAAATATTTCCAGCAGTGCCTGATACACCTACTCACAGCGAAACTCGTTGCTAATCCATCCCGGACTTATCTGTGGAAGAAACGGATTTGCTGTTGTGTTATTAGAAGAAGAAAAAAAACAGCACCAGCCGTTCCAAGAGTCACTCCAAACACTCTCTTTTGGCCCATCCTCTCCCTGAGGATCGCCTTCGCGAGAATCACTGGTACAACTTATCAGATTTATCAATGGAATAGAGAGGGGGATTTCATAACCCTGAGCCTTACCCTAAGCCCCGACCCTGCCTACTAAACCCGACATCAGTAAATATCTCGCGAGGGCTACTGCTCCCGAAGCACAGAGGAATCTACCACGGTAGGATGCGTAAGATACCGCTCCCCCTGGACCGAATTTCAAAGCTCGAGTACTTCACGAACGGAGAGGATACCCATATCAAATCACGCTTACAGAAAGCTCCAGACGAGACGGTTCCAACACCGCCAACGTCCTCGCCTCTCTAGCCGAGAAATCGAGCGTTGAAAAATCGGTCCATGGGGTATGACATCTTGTTCAACCTACGATACGGTAGCAGCAACAACTACGGTTCGGTAGCAGCGAAAGCACCCACCAGAAATCGCTGCGGGGTCAGCAGGTCACTTTCCGAAAACCCGGGTCTCAGGGTGTCCTCCATGCTTCCGTAATTCCTCAGCCGGTAGCACCTCTGGCACACGAGCAGCTTCTCTTGCTCCTCTTCGCCTTCCTCATCTAAGGTCGCCATCCCCGTCCCCGGTAGCCCCCACCCCGCCACCGCCTCCTTTGATGACAACTCCGTTGCTCCTGCTGCTGCTGCTGCTGTTGACGGTGTGCGTCCGGCTAGCACCGCTGTGTCTCTCGAGGCTCGTCCCAGCCCTCCCCCTGAAGGTTCAGAAAAAATATTGTGAGTCGAGTAGAACCGTCCGACAAAAGACAAAGGCAACCCTCATCCTGGACGTGTTGCTGCTTAGAAAAAGTGAGTTTTGAGAAAAAATGGCTAAAACAAATAATAAAAGAACAAAACAGAAAAGCACGTGAACAAATGAAAATTAGCCATCCGTCAAGTTGTTGCAGCACGGAAAAAGCTCAACAAAATATACATCCTCGAGACACGCCTACCCAAACACACCATACACGAAAGCATCCATCCAAGGTTTTGACAACTCGTCGAAGTAAAGAGCACAGGATACAGACATCCCTACAGATGCCCCAACTAAAAACACACACGACAGCATCCATGGTTTCGACAAACTCATACAACAACAGCACTGGATATAGACAGCACCGCCCCCAACCCACACGAATGCACACGTCAGTATCCAAGGTTTCGACGATTCAAAATAAGTAAACAGCACGGGGTGCAGATAGCACTGCCAAGCCCCGATTGCCAGGTTAAACACCTACAGTACCGATATACATGAGTACCCCCCCCTCCCCCCCCCCCCGGTGTTTGCCATCGGGGTTGGGTTTTCGTCGCTTGGCA